TATATAATATTTATATTATATTATATATTATATTATATATAATATTTATATTATATTATATATTATATTATATAATATTGTTATTATATTATATATAATGTTTATATTATATTATATATATAATATATATGTTATTTATATATAATATTTATATTATATTATATATAATATTTATATTATATTATATATAATATTTATATTATATTATATATAATATTTATATTATTTTATATATTTTATATATTTTATATATTTATTATATTGATATTTAATTATGATATTTATATATATTTTATTATATTTAATTTTTATTATAATTATATTTTTATCTATTATATATATTAATTTTATTATCTATTATTATATTATTATTATATTATATTTATTATATATATTTTATATCATATTTATATATTTATATTATATTTTAATATAATTATGATTTATTTATTAGTATTATTATATTTATTATTATTTATATTTATTATATATATTATATTTATTATTATATTTTATTTTAATTTATTGTTATATTTTATTTTATATTATAATTATATTTTATTTTCATTTATTATTGTATTTTATTTTAATTTATTATTATATTTTATTTTAATTTGTTATCCTATTTTATTTTAATTTATTATTATATTATGTTTTATTTAAATTTATTATTATATTATGTTTTATTTAAATTTATTATTATATTTTTTTTTTAATTTATTATTATATTTTATTTTATATTATTATATTTTATTTTATATTATTATATTTTATTTTATATTATTATATTTTATTTTATATTATTATATTTAATTTTAATATATTTTATTTTATTTTATTATTTTACATTATTATTTATTTTATACATTATTATACCATATTTTGTTTTAATTTATTATTATATTTTATTTTAATTTATTGTTATATTTTATCTTATATTATAATTATATTTTATTTTATATTATAAAATTTTATTTTATATTATTAAATTTTATTTTATATTATTATTTTTTATATTATATTATTATTATATTTTATTTTAATTTATTATTATTGTATTTTATTTTAATTTATTGTTATATTTAATTTCAATTTGTTATGATATTTTATTTTAATTTATTATTATATTATGTTTTATTTAAATTTATTATTATATTTTTTTTAATTTATTATTATATATTATTTTAATTTGTTATTATATTTTATTTTAATTTATTATTATATTTTATATTATATTATATATTATTATTACATTTTATATTATATTATATATTATTATTATTATATTTTATATTATATTATATATTATTATTATAATATTTATATATATTATATCTAATATATTATTATATTTATTCTATATTATATTATATTATTTATTATATATATATATCTATTTATATTATATTATTTTTTTTTTTCTTTTTTATTAATATATTATGATTATATTATATTATATTATATTTATATTTTATTATATTATATTATATTAATTATATTATATTATAATTAGATTATTAATATATAATTATATTATATTATATTATATTATATTATATTATATTATATTCTATATTATAATATATTCATTATGTTATATGTTTACTGTGTTTTATAATAATATATTTTGTTATGGTATGGTATTTACTCCGCCAGCTACCATTTGTTACAAGCAAATATATGACTTGTGGTTAATAGGTTAGGCTGGGTCGTTTTTCGTATATAGTCTAGGATGATCACCAAATGAACTGTATTGATTTATTCACATCTTTCAAGTGAAAATAAACCTTTCTATAAATCTATAACCCCGCTGTACCCAACAGCTGAATTGGATGTGTCCAGATCGGTTTAAGAATGTCCTTGTATAGTCTTACTGTGTTCTCTAAGTTGTGTTGAGAATTTGATTATGAGCTGGTTGCGTTAAGCTTTACAAGGCAATTCTGGCAAAGATCGTTAAAAGTCTTGCGGAAGACCGTTTGTAAGATTACAGCTTTTCTGGCAAAAAAATCTTTCAAAAAAGTCTTATCGTTTGTAATTCGTGGTAGAGAACTGTTTTGTTCTACTTGTTTCGTGGTGAAATCAAAAACAGCTGCTAATTGCTACCGCACACAAGTACACAATTGAATTTTAATACGAAAGTGATGGAAAGCTACAAGGTGTATGTTTCATTAGTAGCCACAAGGGTCATGTGGACATGTAGGAACACATATGGTAGAACCTGGGGCCTTAGTCCCAGAATTCTTTCATGGATCTACCGTACAATGGTCAGACCCATTGTATCCTATGCAGCTCTTGTTTGGTGGAACAAGGCACAACTAAAAGCTGCAATACTCAAATGCAATAAACCGCAAAGACTCGCATGTATAGCTATGACGGGAACTATTAGACCATGTCCCACGTCAGCACTGGAGTCCATAGTGGGTTTTACCCCTCTGCACCTCTTCATTAAAAAGACAGCAGCCCTGAGTGGAGCTAGGCTACACTCTGACAACAATATGCACGGAAGTCTTGACAGTCAAAACTCTATCTGCAGACTAGTTCCTGGCATAGAGATCTGCGATAGGACAGATCGCAGACCATGTTCATGTTCATGGAACTTCGCTTCGGTAGAAAGTTCGAAGTCCTCATTCCCGATCGATTGGACTGGGAAAATGGCACTCCTGGAGCAGAACCAAAAGTGATTTTATGGTTCAACGATGGTTCAAAAACCAAAGAAGGAGTTGGTGCTGGAATATTTGGTCCTAACACCAGAATCTCGCTAGCGCTGGGTATATGGCCCACTGTCTTCCAAGCAGAGGTTCACGCCATCGAGGTCTGCGCTCGTATTAACTTAAACAACGGGTTGAAAGGCGCCCGCACCTGTGTTTACTCAGATAGTCAAGCAGCAGTCAAAGCTCTATCCTCCTGGAGGTTTTCTCAAAGCTTTCATTAGACTGCTTTGATGTGCTGCAGCAGCTAGCAAGCAAAAACAAAGTGACGCTTTGCTGGGTGCCTGGTCACACAGGAGTAAAGGGTAATGAATCTGTCGACAGCCTTGCAAGGGCAGGTTCTGCCACTCAAATCTGTGGACCGGAACCCTATTGTGGATTAAGTTGGTCTACAAGTAGGTATCTAATTGATAAATGGATCTTAGCCGAGGGAGGTCGCTACTGGCGCAACAATTGAGGTAACCGTCAGGCTAAAGAGCTGGTTCACCCATATAGTTATGGCAAGGCATCCCTCCTTAGCAAGTCAGACTTGAGATTGCTGGTTGGATATTTAACGGGTCACCATGGACTGCGTTATCACCTTAATAAAATGGGTCTGTCCGAGGAGACGGAGTGTCGACTCTGATTAGAAGCAGACGAGACTCCCAGTCACATTCTCTGTGACTGCCCAGCCTTGATCTGGGCAAGGAGGAGGTCACTGGGAGGAAAGCTGCTCTCTCCTTCTAACAATAGGAGGTCCTCAACGGACGACATTCTGGCTTTCATTCGAAAAGCGGAATGTCTTCTGTTCGGTTAGGCTCAGTTGTAGCACAAAAGATCAATCTGGTCGCAGTGCTCTGCTCCGTTGGGCACTTGTACCCCCTTTATTTCTATTCTATTCTATGTTTCATTATTATTATTATTTATACATAAATAATTTTTTACGGAATTTAAGTCATATCATAAAAGAAATGGTTACAGTTCTTGATACATTGAGCACAGTAGTGACAAAAAAAAATTAATTAGTTTTAAAAATATAGGTTAAATATATATAATTAAATATATAAATAGAATATTAGAAATTAAATATATAAATTATATACGTTAAAATTTTTTTAAAGAAAGTATAGTATATCAATACATTAGTCGTATTAAATATGAAGGTACAAATAATTGATCAATTTTTACAAATTTTGAATATATGAATGTTTGAATATGAATAATCTTTCGTAAGATTTTTGAGTGTGGTGAGTTAAAAATTCGTTGCCAGAATTTCCCTGTTAATGTGAATATTCTACGTCAATCTACTATCAAGATGATCGCCGAGATATTTAACTGAGTCGCTGTATGGAATTGGCTGACTGCAACTAGCTAGGCTAAGTTGGCATTTAAGAGAACGGTACACAGACCGTTCAGTTTAGGGCTAATTCGAACGCTTTTTGAATCAGGAAGTCCTTGCGTGATTCTGCAACTAGCTAGGCTAAGTTGGCATTTAAGAGAACGGTACACGGACCGTTCAGCTTAGGGCGAATTCGAACGCTTTTTAAATCAGGAAGTCTTTGCGAGCTTTCTCGAGGAGAAACTGCAGTACTGCTGCTTAAAGTTGGATCACAATTTCCCCTTCAGATTGTAAATGTCACATGTACAGACTTGTTTGGATTTACTTTTATTTTCCATTTTTTGAACGATGTCGATATGTTGCAAAATTCTAATTTTTTTTGGACAGAATGATCGCTGTGCCATCAGCTGAGGTAGCTAGATTCACATAAGCTAGAACAGGTATGTCTGTTGTGAAGAGAGTAAAAAGAATGGGCCCTAAGAGAACATAATGGTGCGATGAAGAAAGTTAGTGAATATAGAACATTATTAGATAATATTGACATTTTTTATGCATAGCCATTAAACATTTTTGGTTATACTTAAATATTTGCTCATGCATTACGTATTACAAATAATTATTTAAAAGAAATTGTTAATTACTTTTAAGAAATATTTCGCCAAAACGTAAACATTTTTTCAATAGCCGCTTCAATGGCAAATTATTTGTTTTATATTACAAAATATTTTTAAAAATATTGTTTTCGCTCTCAATTGGCCATATGTATTTATTTTCGGACAGGCCTTAGGTTTTGTTTTATCATTTTTATATAATAATAAAATATATAAGACATCTATCTTTATTTTTGTTTTAAAAATTAAATCGTTTATTTATATATACAGATTTCAAAAGTGGTTCTTTCCCATTTTTTTTTAATTCATAATGCTAAATGTGTCCATGGTTTTTATAAATATTTTTTAATTTAATTTTTAATATCCAATAATTTAAATTTTAATATCCAATAAATAAAAAAAATTAAAATATAAATTTGAAAGAAATTATGCGAAAAAAAATTCACCACTGTTACATAAACATTTCAAGTGACTGTCAAGAGTAAATATGTCATTTGAAAATGCAGAATAAGAAAGGCGCCACAAATCACTCAAAAGAGATCATCACTCCTAAAATCGTTGATAAAATCCATGGTATGGTGCTGGAAAAGCAACGAATGAAGGCTCGTAAGAATGCTGAGGCTGTTGGCACCTTAACTAAGTGGGTACATCATAATCTACATGAATCATTAGACATGAGGTATCCGTGCAATAGGTGCTCAGGTTTAGCCATAAGCTCAACCGTATGATTACTTCAAAGGAGTATTTGTCAGATAACAAGGCAATGACGACAGTTTTTTGGGAAACAGTTGGTATCATTTACATTGATTTTCTTAAAAAGAGTAAAATGTTCACAGGCGAATATTAGTTAAAGCTTTTGGACATATTCGACAATGATTTGTCCTTCCTTTAAGGAAATCCAATAAATTGGGCTTTCCATTCAACACATTCTCCAGATATAGCCTCCTGCAGCTATTTGCTGTTTACAAATCTTAAAAAAATGAAAATAGGTTAAATAAATAAATCACTATTGACACAAATGAATAAGAACCTTGAGGTCCTTAAAAAGGACTCATGAAAAAGGTTTTTAAGGCTCTTGAAAAAACAGATTATTTGAAAGGGATAAAAGAACCGGAAGAAATTTAGAATTAAATGGGTCATAGTCTGAAAGAAGACTATGTTGAGAATCAACCGGTATTTATTCAAAAAAAATAATTTTTCTTAAACGAAATTATCAAATTATGCCTATATTATTTATTATTATTTGGTACTTTATTATCGCATGTGTATCACAACTAAAATGTAAACTGTTAATAAAATCGCTTTTTGACGACTCTGTAAATAATGTATACTGATTAGTGTGTTTAACAAGTAGAGGAAGAAGTTATCATAGGCTACTAAATTTATCGCCTAAATTAAATTTAATAATTTAATAATTTTGCAAATCCACATATTTGAAGAAAAAAAATGTAAGTTATAACAAACTTAAACAATCTTTTGACATTGACATATGTATGTATATTTTACATTGAAATAGCAGTGGATTAAGAATAAATGTTATATATACAAAATAAATAATACAAAATTGTGCCGATAAGAAAAATTCCACGTAAGTACGCGTACATTAACGAGATGGAGGTATTAGTGTTCGGCTCGGCAATTGTAGATTTCATTAGGTAAAAATTATTTTGATTTAATTGGATTCATATAATATATGAGTTATTAAGTTATGTAGAACGACTACCTCGTTTGGGTGAAACGTTGAAGGGAAGAAAGTTTGCAACTGGCTATGGTGGTAAAGGTGCAAATCAATGTGTAGCAGCCGCTAGACTAGGGGCCAGTACTGCAATGATAGCAAAGGTATATTATTATATGTAATACAGTCAGTTATTAAAGTGGAAAACACAATAGCTTGGAGACGACAGCTGGGGCAACGACTACTTGGAGCATTTACGCCAGGAAGGAGTGGATGTAGAATTTACACAGCAATGCAAAAATGAAGTAAATATAAAAATGCAATTATCTAATTTTTCAATTTTAGTTGTTCAAATTTAATATTGAGAAATTATATTAAATTTTATATTATATTATTATATTAAATATTGGTTTTATAACAGCCAAAGTCTTCAATCACATGCGGCCTATTTAACACATTATTTTCATCTTTTTAGACGACTGGTGTTGCGCAAATAAGTGTGTCCGATGGGGGAGATAATTGTATAATTATAACACCAGGGGCAAATGATTCATTAAACAGAGAAGATGTTTCTAAGGCTGAAAAGTTATTTACCAGCTGCAAAGTATGTTGACTTTTGTTGATAATAAATTGTGTACATTCTTTACTACTACTTTCAGATACTAATTTGCCAACTAGAAGTTCCAGTCGAGTCTACGCTGCATGCTCTTCAGGCTTTTAAAGGAATATCGATATTAAATGCAGCTCCAGCTCTGCAAAATACGCCCATTGAATTATTAAAATCTGCGACAATATTTTGCGTGAATGAAAGCGAAGCCGCACTTATGACAGGTGCTAATGAAATAGTAAATTTAGAGTAATTCAACATTTCACATTTAAGAGAAAATTTATTTTAAAAATTAAACCTTTTTTAAAGGCAGTCAAAGGAAGCATTGATGAAATTGCAAGAAATGGGCGCTAACACCGTAGTCATTACTCTCGGTTCACTTGGTGCTGTTTATGTAAAGAGCGATAAGAAAAATGAGTTTATCCATGTACCATCCATTACTGTGAAAAAAGTCGTAGATACTACCGGAGCAGGAGATGCATTTATTGGAGCGCTGGCGTACTTTATGGCTAAATATCCGAAATCCGCTCTACACCAACAAATTGGTGCAGCTTGTAGAATCGCTTCCTATTCCGTTCAATATCCCGGAACACAGTCAAGCTTTCCTAATCACCAAGATATGTCAATTAACTTAGATGTCGAAAATTTCGATTGGTTTTTGCTTTAATTAAATTGATATTTTAAACACAATTCATTTGTACTTAATTTATTTATTACAAATGCTATTCATCGGTCTTATAAAAATAAAAAAAAAACTAATTTGGCGACAGCTTTACTTCTTTCCTGACTTCTTAATACCTCCACCAACAAGCGGACCTTTTTGTGATGCTTTCTGTTTGGCAGCTTCCATCGCCTTTTGTTGTTCCTTTTGTTTTTGCTTAAAAGCCATTTCGTCTTCGTCCATTTCCTTTGAGTCTTTCTTAGGTGCCTTCAGTGGCTTTTTCTTTCCTCCTTCCCGACCAGACATTTTTAAAATTCAACCTTTAATTTTAAAATAAATGTCTTTAATTATTTTTATTATATTAATAGTTTTT